CCCACGGTCTGAGGCCTGGGCATGTCCTCGCAGGTGCCTCCCCTGGTAGCATGCCCAAGGCAGGGTGTGAGTTTGGGGGTGGGAAGGGCCTGGTCTGTGGAGGGAGGCCTGTCTTTACACGTTGGGGTTGGAAGCGGGGTAAGGAGAGCCAGACCGTGGCCCGTGTGGGAGTGTGTGTGTGAATGGAGTGTGTTAGAGGGATGGTCCGTGTACTTACTAATCTGTTGTTTTGAGATGGTCGGATGTCCATGGGGGGTGAGGAGGAGCTCTGGAGGGGCAGGACTCTTCGGGGCATTTGGCTCTGTTGCGACAATGGCTGGTGACCAAGGTCAAGGTGAAGGCGAGGAGATGGTACTTAGAAGCCTGGGTGGTCGGGGAGCAGGCTGATTCTGTGATCAGGAGGTGGCGAGCTACACTGAAGGGACAGGATAGGAAGCAAAGGGAGTTTTCCTGCACTTTTTCCTCTTTCTCGTCTCCTGTTTTCCGCTTCACTCCATTTTACACCTTTTCCTTTTCCTCTGTATTCCTTCTCTTTATGCTCTCGTCTTCTTTCAAAAAAAAAAATTCTCTCTTTCAATTTTCTTTATTTCTTTTTTCTTTCCTGCTTTGGCTTTCTTTCCCCTACTTGTTCCTCCTTCCCAAATTATTTTCCTTATTTCAGGCGGGTTTGGGCATGAAGGGGTTACAGAGGAGCTGGGCCTAACAAGGTCTCTGGCCTTCTGGGGTTTCCAGCTCCATCTGGCAGGGGCTGACCTTGGCCTTGTCCAATCAGAAGGGGTGTGGGGGGGTGTGGTCCCCTTTCCCTTAGCACAGGGTTTCCGGAGCTCACAGGCGAGGGGTGGAGCCTGTTGCACCCCCCACCTTCTCCCTGTGGTTGGGAACAATGCACCACTGCATCTGGGCCTGTGGCTCTTCTGCCCCCTCCCACTCTGGTTGGCACCCAGCCCGGTTAACCCTTTCCACCAAGGTTTCAGGGCAAGTTGCAGCTCCTTGGGGAGGAAGGTGTTGGCACTGGGTTGAGATACTGCCCTTGAAAGCCCCATGAACAAACTTAGCCAAGTAGAAAGTGAGGGGTGGTTAGGATTGCGTGTGATGTTTAAGAGCAGAGTCTCCTGAAATCTGAAAAGAGGAAGTGTGAGACGTAACCTTAGGTGATGCTTTTTCATCTACTCAGTTTCTGACCCTCAGGCTGGGGTAGCAAGGAGGAGACAAGGTGATATTCTGGCCGGCCTGGTGGGGCCGATTCGGGCTTTCTGGTTGGTGTCTGAGCACGGCACCTGGGTGGGATGTGTTTCTGTGGCATGGTTTGTCCTCAGCAGCTCTTTCCCAAGAGCATTAGCGATGGAGAGGTCGGGGAGAGCTGGTCTGGGGGGTGTGAGGAAGGCAGAAGCCTGGGGGGTGTGAGAAAACCCCCCGAGGCGCATTGGTTTCCCTGGGCGAGGCTGTTCACGGTGGCTGCTTGCTGGATTAGTTCTGACTTGGTTTCTTCCTCCTTCATCTCCCAGGGGAGTTTGAAGAGGAGTCAAAGCAGCCAGGGGTGTCGGAGCAGCAGCGACATCAACTGAAGCACCGGGAACTTTTTCTTTCTCGGCAGTTTGAGTCCTTGCCAGCCACCCACATCCGGTACGGGACGGTCAGGCCACTGGCCAGCACGCTCTTCTTTGGGAGACGGAGACGGGGGTGGTGTGCGGGACGCTTTGGGGTGAGGTGCTCACCCAGCCTCTTCTGACCTCTCTCCTGTAGTGGAAAATGCAGCGTGACCCTCTTGAACGAGACAGATATCTTGAGCCAGTATCTGGAAAAGGAGGTGAGCAAGAGGTGTTGGGAGAAGGGGTGGGAATTTCCCCAAGAGGCAAGAGGAAAGGGGACTGTGAGGAGGCGCAGGCTGCCAGGCTGCGTGTTTCGGGGACTCTGCGGACATTGGCCCTGCCCTGAGGACCGCTGCCCTGCTCACCTTCCCCTCCTCCCCCCCAGGACTGCTTCTTCTACTCCCTGGTGTTTGACCCCGTGCAGAAGACGCTGCTCGCCGACCAGGGGGAGATCCGAGTTGGTTGCAAATTCCAAGCTGAGATCCCAGATCGCCTGGCCGAGGGTAAGCAGCAGGCAGACTGTGGCTGCTGGCTTAGCTGACATCAGAGTCTGAGTCGTGTGCCTTGCGCTTGTGCAGGGCCGCTCTGCACGCTCGCTGCTGTCACCCCGACAGAACGTAGCCTCCAGAGCTGGAAGGGACAGTGGGCTCAGTGGGAAGATAAGTGAGCGTCCAGGTGCCTGATGGAACCCATAGCACCTTAGCCTTCATCTCCTGCGGGGATTCTGTCCGCCACCTCCCTTCTCTCTCCCTGATGAGGCCGTTGCCCTTTGCTCAGGGGAGTCTGATAACCGGAACCAGCAGAAGATGGAGATGAAGGTCTGGGACCCAGACAACCCTCTCACAGACCGGCAGATCGACCAGTTTCTCGTGGTGGCCCGGTGAGGGGTGGGTGGATGGGGAAGAAGGACGGGGGAGGTGTGGACGTAGTTCTGCGCCCCCTTCTTCGGGGTGGGCATTCTTGCTTTGGCCCGGCTGTGGTCCTTTTTCCTCCTCTGGCTCAGTTCCCCAGCCCGCTTGCGCTTTCTTTCCCTCCTGACACCTCGGTTTCCCTGGCAGAGCGGTGGGGACCTTCGCCAGAGCCCTAGATTGTAGCAGCTCCATCCGGCAGCCAAGCCTACACATGAGTGCAGCCGCTGCCTCTCGAGATATCACCCTGGTGAGCAGGCGCTGGTGGGTGGCGGGGCAGGCTGGGCTTTGTGGACTGCAGAGCCTGGGACAGGAGAGGGGCGGCTCTGAGTGAATGGGAGTGTTTAAAGGGCAGCAGGAGAGCATGCTGAGGGGCTCGGGTCATCAACATTGTTTCTTACCTGCCCATAGTTCCATGCAATGGACACACTGCAGAGGAACGGCTATGACCTGGCCAAGGCCATGTCGACGCTGGTGCCCCAGGGGGGCCCAGTGCTGTGCCGGGACGAGATGGAGGAATGGTCCGCCTCCGAGGCCATGCTGTTTGAGGAGGCCCTGGAGAAGTACGGGAAGGATTTCAATGATATTCGCCAGGACTTTGTAAGTGGGTGGAGCTCAGGGAGGCGGAAGAGACAGCTGGTGAGGGACCAGGACCTGGGACCGGCTGTGAGCTCACCCTTGTTCCCTCTGCCCTCCTTAGCTGCCCTGGAAGTCACTGGCTAGCATAGTCCAGTTTTATTACATGTGGAAAACCACAGACCGCTACATCCAGCAGGTACGGCCAGGGCCAGGGGGCTGGGCCAGAGGCCTCCTGCTGAGATGCGCTCTGACCCTTCTCTGTCCTTCTTCCTGCAGAAGAGATTGAAAGCAGCGGAAGCAGACAGCAAACTGAAACAGGTCTACATCCCCACCTAGTGAGTGATGGCAGGGGGCCCGCGGCTTCCTCTCCTTCCCCTAACCTGTGCTGTCCTCAGCGATTAGGGCTGGGCAGGAGGCAGGGCACGTTCTTATAGAGACAAGGTGGAAACGGATTGTTTTCCTTGAATTCTTTTCTTTTCTCCCCACTCCTGCCCCTATTAGCACCAAACCAAATCCTAACCAGATCATCTCTGTGGGCTCAAAACCTGGCATGAACGGGGCAGGATTCCAGAAGGGCCTGACTTGCGAGAGCTGCCACAGTGAGTTCCAGGGAGGGCCAGGGATGCGGGGGGTGGGGAGAGGTCTGCTCTGACCCAAGAACCTGAGGGGCTCAAATGGCGCCCCCCCCCCCCCCCCCCCCCCCCCCCCCCCCCCCCCCCCCCCCCCCTCTCTCC